GCGCGTCCGGAGCCTGTGCTCCGCAACGGGAGAGGCCACAACACTGAGAGGCCCGCGTACTGCAAAATAATAATAATAATAATGAACACCTTTCATGGACCAGCCTGGGAAGAGGTCTTACTATCGAGGAGGGCCTTCAAGCCCACCCGCTCCGCAAGTGTGAGGGCTGCACGGCTGCTCTCCGCTGCTCTCGGGGTGGGCTCTCGCTTCCTGCTCTTCCTGCTTTGAGGCCTAAGGCTTGGAGCTTTCTTCAGATATCAGACCCAGAGCAAGGAAAGTTTCATTTGCTGAACCAAGAGGCCAGAATGTGTCCACCCGGCTCCTGCTGGGCGGTGCGCCCCGACACCAAGCGTGCCAACAGGAGAGGAAGCTTAAAGGCCACTACACCCCACGTACCCAGTGTATGAACCCACAGCAAGACGAGAGCGAAACATTGATGGGTGTCTTGTAACCTCCATTCTGTGGATCCGGATTCTTCCACTCTTCCCCCTCTTTCATAAATTTCCTCCGACAGATGAATCCACAGTTGTTTCTGATGTTAAAATTGTTGGACATCTCTTCTCATAGCACCTCCTTTCACTGTATTTGTGCTGTTTTCATGAAGCACATACCTCTGTGGTCTGCTACTCTCCATTTTATAGGAGATGACTGGGTTGTGACGGTGGGTTGTGTGTGTGTGTGTGTGTGTGTGTGTGTGTGTGTGTGTGTGTGTGTGTGTGTGTGTGTGTGTGTGTGTGTGTGTTGGGGACGAATCCAGAGGGGAGGTGGTGAAGAGTGGAGCTCGGGGAACACCAGCTGGCAAAGACAAGTGAGCATCTGCAAATATAAAATACCGGCCTGAATTTGCTTCCCTTTCTATTCTATAGTAAACACAAAAGAGTACAAAGGGAAACCTAGTCTGCTGTGAGCCCCCAGGAAGAATATCCATTCTTTTTTTTTTTTTTTCTTTTTTTTGCAATACGCGGGCCTCTCACTGTTGTGGCCTCTCCCGTTGCGGAGCACAGGCTCCGGACGCGCAGGCTCAGCGGCCGTGGCTCACGGGCCCAGCCGCTCCGCGGCACGTGGGATCTTCCCAGACCGGGGCACGAACCCGCGTTCCCTGCATCGGCAAGCGGACTCTCAACCACTGCGCCACCAGGGAAGCCCAGAATATCCATTCTTGCCCTGCGCTCCTGAGACCCCTGAAGTGTTTCGGAAAGGAGCCGAAAGAACAGTGTGGTTTGGGGTCTGTACTGCTCCCCTCCCTTGGGTCTTCCTGTGCCCAGGCTGCCACCCCTCTTCCTCCAGCACCTGAGCAGCTAAGGGTGACCCGTTCCGCAGGACTAGGGCCTTCTCCTTGATAGATCTGTGAGGAAAAGCTAACGGGCAGTGCTAATCATCCTCAGGTCTCTCCAGCGTGGTTGGTTTAGTCATACGACTTCTTAACCTTCATGTGTTTGTTTCATGTATTTTCATTCTGGTTACAAGATTATACCAACTTACTGTGTCTTCTAAATTTTCCTTTTTGCTGTTTGAGTCTGTATATGTGTATATATATATATATATATATATATATATATATATATATATTTCTTTGATTAGAATATCTTAGCCTGAAAGCCTCTGATGTTCACTGTAGGAAACTAGTACAAGGCTAATTATCTGCCAGCAAACTTTGGATTGCTGGATGTTTCAGTAATTGCCTTCAAATGTAGTAATGAGGTTGCAGGTTTGATGAAATGCTTACGAGCGGCGGCTTTAGGGAAATCAACCTTTCCATTTTCCATTCTGAATTCCAAATTACTGTGTATTAACACATCTGTCTCCTGCCTTTTTTTATTTCAGTACCTGCTAGAAATGAAAAGCTTAATCCTGCCCCCAGAACATATCCTGAAGAGAGGGGACAGTGAAGCGATAGCATATGCGTTCTTTCACCTGGCACACTGGAAGAGGGTAGAAGGGGCTTTGAATCTTCTGCATTGTACGTGGGAAGGCAGTAAGTAATTTTCTTTCTTTGAAATGTTTTTAAAGCATGAAAAGATGCTAGAACTGTTTTTACCCTGAGTGTTCACGGTGAGTGATGGAGATTTGCATATCTATAGCCCTCCTTCTCTGTGATATTCCATCACCGAGAGATGGCTAATTACTCAGGCTCTCTAGTTTCCCAGTGGTGGCGGGTGTTACTGTGGTGATCCCATCTCTGCAGCTCAAAAAGGCAAGTTTATACAGTGGACGGGGTGAGTCTGGGTTGTCCTGGCAGAGGAGCATTTTACAGCTGGAAAACCCCTTTGGAGACCTGGACAGCCCCTAGGCACCATGGGAACCTTTGGCGTGGGGTCAGGCCTCGTGCTGGGCTCTGATGACCACTTCTGGATGGCCTTTCTGGGAGGGTTGGCTGAAGAGCCACAGTTATCCTCCAGGAAAGCTGGGTTAGCCAAACACAAACGAGCAGCGGTTATGCCTGCTTCAGCACAAGAGCAGTGGCCGCTGGACTCCAGTATGGTGGCAGGTGTAGCACTGTGCGTTAAGGGATAAATACCTGTTAGATGGATGTGGGGATAAACTGACCTGAGCATGAGCTGGGCACCGTCATTGCGTGTAAGGAGAAGTGGCTCCAACGGTGGGTGAGACGTGCTCCCTGCCCTGGAGAAGCATTTCATCCAGTTGGGAGGAGTCAGCAGCAGCATGTAACAGCTGCCCAGTGATTCTTCAGACAGGAGAGGCCTGTGGGGTGGAGCAGTGATGGTTAACCTTATGGGTCATATGAGATTTGACCCAAGCCTTGAAGAACTGGGACGGTATAAGCAAGGACACTGTGAACAAATGCTAAGCGGTGCGGCTGTTGGGGAGAATGAAAATTAAGGAAAAAGACTCAAGATTGTGCATTATTGGACCACATATATATTGACACTCGGTTATCAATAATTTAAGCAAAACAAACACAACATGTAGCATGGGGGTTTTTTTCCCCCCCTCTCATGGGGAAAAGAAATATTAGAGTCTTCTGATAATTTTTCCTTAGTTCACTCCTACTCTGATCAGCCTCACAAATGAATGTCTTTTTAATCCCTTTCACTGTTTTTCTTTGCTCCTTCCATTTCATTTTTGCTAATCTTCTGCTCTTCCCTCTTCCTGCCCTTCCCTAACCCAGCAGGAATCTGAACTGGTGCAGGAAGGGAGGGGGGGCAGCCGAATGAGATGGAGTAAAAGTAACTTGACAGGGACTCAGGTTGATTGAAAGTTTTTTGTTTAGTTGTTTTGAAAACATTTCTTTAGAGAATTGATAGCGGGTCAAGTTAAATCATTTACTATTTATAACTTGAGGGATATCAACTTGATCGATGTTTCTACCCCTACTCTGTAAGTGTGGTAACATACTCCAGGTGTCCTGGTCCTGCTATTTGGATATGTTAAGACAGCACACTCTGCTCAGGGTGTGTGTGGACATGTATGCAGTCCCCTCTGGCTTGGGCTTCTTGTTGCATTTAAAGTGTTCTATCCAGATGAGACAAAAGGAATTTTTATGTAAACATGAGAAAGAGACAGAAAAAGCCCAGCAAGAATAAACATGAGAGGCCTCACCTAGTGTTAGTCGTGGTAAAATTAAATGGACAAGCTGACTTAGCCAAATAAGAACGTATTTATAGATCGGTACCTTGGAAACATAGTAATAGAAGCTTATTGATTGGATCTAATTGATAAGAAAGTTACCAGTCCTATAGAAAAGGTCAAAAGCGGGTGGGCAGAAGTGATGAAGACACAGTGTTAGGAATGGCATAACTATTAAAAAAAACAACCATGAGGAAATTCTGTTTGGAAATTAGTTACCCATGTAATCATATAACAATAGGGAGATGCTCTGGAACAACTGGGAAGGACAGTGAGATTGTGAGAAATGTGAAGTGACATAGTGAACTCCACATCAAGCAGTGTAGTACCTCTGGGGGGAATGTAATTACCTCAAATTAGATGGGTGGAGCACTTTATTAGAATAAAAAGAAGGGATGAGCTTTTTGTTTTGTTTTTGTTTGTTGGTTTGGTTTAGTTTTTTTTTAACATCTTTATTAGAGTATAATTGCTTTACAATGGTGTGTTATTTTCTGCTTTATAACAAAGTGAATCAGTTATACATATACATATATTCCCATATCTCCTCCCTCTTGCATCTCCCTCCCTCCCACCCTCCCTATCCCACCCCTCTAGGTGGTCACAAAGCACCGAGCTGATCTCCCTGTGCTATGCGGCTGCTTCCCACTAGCTATCTATTTTACGTTTGATAGTGTGTATATGTCCATGCCACTCTCTCACTTTGTCCCAGCTTACCCTTCCCCCTCCCTGTATCCTCAAGTCCGTTCTCTAGTAGGTAGGGGTGAGTTTTTAGACATAAAACAGTGTGGCAAGGTAGGGGCCTATAGGAAAGACAAATTCAGCATCTGATCCTTACAGATAATTAAGAACCAGGAAGTTATGCTACTGTTCAGTTTTCAAAAAGAGAGCCATACCATTCAGTTTTAGAAAGAAAAGAGAACCATGAGAGTGCTTACCAGGTGCTAACTACCTTGGAGGATCCCAAGAACCTTGAAGAGTGTTTGTGTAATGGTGTAATTCACAGAGGGTTTGTATTTCCATCATTTCATGGACTCCTGATAAATTTCTGAGTTAGGCAGGACAGAGGTGGACATCTTAGTTGATCAAGAGAGGAACAGGTTCATTGAGGTGAGTACCTTGTTGAACATCCTGCCAGCACTGTTGGTAGGGCCAGGTTCACTTTTTCTTCACTGCTCTTTTCTATAATACCAGCTATTTAGGCCTTTCCTGAATAGATTAAGGATAAGAGGGTCAGCCATCTCCGAAACATTTGTTTAGAAGCCCTCAGTTTACACCACTGCTTACAGACTGGGGTATACCTATGCCCTTTCTAGTGTTTTGAAAGTTAATCATTCTATATAAAATTATATTTTTGTTGTTAAATATTGACGTAAACATTTTAACTGTAGAATGAGCCCAATTCTATACAGAACTACATTCTATACATAAACAAAGGTAAGAGACTGGAAATAAATACATCTTTAAGTAGATTTTTAGTGATTTGGTTTTTTCTTCTTATTTGTATTTTTCAAATTTTCTACAACAAGCATATATATTTTCTACAGGCATAGATATGCATGTGTATATATATGTGTGTGTGTATATATATGTATATGCATGTACTTAGAAAAATAAACTTTCATTACAAACAGTTTTGGTCTTTTTTCAAAAACAAAGCTATAAATCTGTCTTGCAATTTAGAAGAAATAATTACCACTCCAACTTTAGACAATTGTGTGTAACTGGTTGACAAAACTTCTAGATCTGTGTCCATTCTAAGTTAAATGGAGGCATCAGGGCTCTGGATTTTAAATCAAAAGGGCTTGGATTAGAATTCTGACTTAGCTACCTATTAACTGGTATTAACTTACCCATTTTTTGAAAACTGTGAAGCGCTGAAGATACTGAATGCAGTCACCCCATCCCAGATCGGTGGGCTTCAGGGCAGTTGCCCTCAGGGCGGCTGCGGTACCAGAACCGCTCCCTCTCCCTCTGAGGTCAGTGGGGCTCCCCTAGATGGCCTGTGCCTGAGCGCAGGAGGCTGCACTTCCTCCAGTTCACCACTGGGTGCCGCATTTTGACATCTCCAGCCTCAGGGTCTAGGTTTTCGCCTTTAAATCATTTTTTTCTTCATTCTGAAATTTAAGGCCATTCCCCAACTCCCTTCCAGTTTCCCCTTTTCATTAGAAAGATAATTCAGGGAGGAAGGTAACAGTGCCTCATTTCACCAGGTTCCATGTTAAAAGTGAGTATTCTTTTAAAAAGTCAGTTTATCTTTTAGAAAAAATTTTAAAAGCCTGACTTATGTCAAAAGTGTTAGTTAGGGGTAGGGATGAGGTATATTTTTCTTTGATTTTTAATGAGTTTATTATGTTGGAGCATTAGTCATCTTGTGGAATTAAGTGAGTTTCCCACCAATCAGGCTGAAATAACTCACATTTTTGTTAAAACCCCAAAGTCCAGCTGATGCATGGCAGAGATTGTTTGGGTTTGAAACATATGGTGGTTTAAAAAAAAAAACAAAAAAAAAAAAAACAGAGTCCTCAACCACAAATACATCAGCATTTCAAAGGTTTGTAAAATATTTGATTCATCACTGTCCCAGCCCCTGAAATTACACAATATGTTCCTCAAAGTCAAGATAATGAAGAAATGGGGAAAGTTTTAATTTATAAGATTTAAAAACATGTTTCTTAATTCATTACACAGCTGCCACATTATCTGAATTATATTTATTTTAAACACTGTAGGTTCTGGTTACACTCACACACGTGCACACACACGACTGCAAGTATGTGTTGAGTGTAAAAACCATATATGAATGAGGGATCTCGTTTGAATTGTGTATTACTTACAATGGCATCGCGCCTTATGGGGCCCTATTTTAAATGGCACATCTTCTATTTTACCTGTATTAAATACTGATGTGGCCTTATCTCCCTTCTACCTTGATCTTTTCAGGGCTCTGTTTTGGCTGTATTCATTTTATAAAGCAGAATAGTCTGCTGACCACAACTGTGAACTTTAAGATTTAATTTTCAGGTTCTATATATCAGAAGGCTAGAATGCCATGGGGTAAATCGCTTAGCTTTTCTTTGTTTCCATTTTTTCCACTTCATCAAGTAAGACTCTTTATTTTCTTTTTGGAGATTTTTTTCCCCAAAGAATTCACTAAATAATGTATAAGATTTGAAGGTGGTGTTTTTTAGGGGGACTAGGCAAAGTATTTCCTTTGAGAGGAGAAAATGGTCCATTGTTGAAGCAAAGGATGAGATTCTGATTCTAATTTATTCTCTTTGAACCTGGTGGTAAATGCTACTTGCTGTAAGATGTGGTCCTTAGGGCATTTCCTCTAACCAAACCTTTCCTCCAAAAGCCTGGCACCTTCGGGACTGCTAAAGAGAAATTCTTCCACCCCTCACCCCATAGATCTAAGGCTAAATTTTATAATTTAGGAGAAAACAATGGCCAGCTACAGTCCCTGGCCATAGCCAACTTAACACTAGTAGCCGGACTCCAAATATCTTCCCCACCTACTGCCCAGTAGGACCAAGCTTGCTCCTTTCAGTTATTCAGTTTTGAGCCTCTGACCATAATTTGGATCCACTGGAGTTTTTAAAGGGAAAAATTCTGTCTCTGCCCTATCGTGCATTAGCTTATTCATTCCTTTATCCAATTAACATTTATTGAGTCCCTCCTTTGTGCCAGGTATTCTTTTGGGGATACCAAGATGAGTCAGACTCTGAAACGCTTTGAGAGAAACATTAATGTGTGTGTGTGTGTGTGTGTGTGTGTGTGTGTGTACACGTATTCTCACAGATACATACACACACATATATAATATGTAGTGTGGATACAAGCAGTGGAAGCAGGAACAGAGTGTTATATAGTGTTGCAGGTCACTAACAAATTAGTGAATCTGCTATAAAACTCTAGAAGTTTTCTTCAGAATTGGAATGGAACATCATGTAATCTAACCAAAGGAAAGTGGTTTTCCCAAGGCCATATAAGTAGATAGTGAAAAAACGTGGATCAGAACCCAAGCTTTTGACTTCTGAATTTTCCTTATTGGGCCCAAAGCCTCACAAAAGACAAAGAGCCTTTATGGCCAGTTGCCTGCATTACAGTCAAAAGTGAGAACATAAAATGTGTATTTTGATGAAAGTTTTCTGTTCTATCATTTGCACTTCTAATTGTTCACAAACAAGCAGCATTTTTACTTATAAGCTAGAGTATGACCTGTTAGAGAAAGTAGGAGCTTGGGGTTAGTGGAAAGGCACGGTAAAGAGAAAACTAACTTTCATTGAGCAGTCAGGCACTATGTGTGGACACGTTGACCTCGGCTTTCACACTTAGACCCTTTAACAGCCTCTCGAGGTCCTTGGTGTTCTCATTTTTACGGCCGAAGAGACTGGGCACAGATTAATGACCCACCCAAAGTCATACAGTTGTCAGCCTGGTCAAGTTTGACTCATCCTGAGCTGTCACCTCCACCACTCCCCCATTAGGTATGGGGCTATCACAGGGGGACTTTCACTCTTGTTTTCATGATTATTGGCTCATCTGTTTCCCACCCTGGGTGGTCAGCTCCATCAGGGCAGGGACAGTGCGTACTTGGCTCACCTTTCTATCGCTGCTGCATGAGGAAGGCACTCAACATTTTGACCATGTAGAGCTGGGATTCAAACTCAGTTCTTGCTATTGCAAGGGGTCTGTATAAAGTTCTCTGAGATCCTCTTTGAAAAGGCAACATAGACAAACAAAGTATCAAACATTACCTTCTATCCTTGTCTACATTGTGGACAGGATGAGAACTCATTAGAAGTCACTGGGGAAATCAGGAATTCATTTGTTCATGTATCCATCCTTCTGTTCATTCTTTGGTTCTGTTGATTCTTTCTCCAGTATTGGTGGAGTCTCTGATTGGCACAGCACTGCTAGGCTTGGTGCCTAGAAAACGTGTCTGGGCAGGGGTGGAAAGCAGCTGTGTAATGCCTCACATGTCATTGTGGAGAGCCTGCTGTGTTCATTAAGTAGTTCCCAGTTTCATTTTGCCTCTCCCACAAAGGCACAATAGGAACCAAGGTAGGGGAGGGGATGGCACAAAAGGAAAATGCAACAATGCCACTTGTGTCCCATGTATTAACTCTGAGTGGTCCAGGTTTTTGGTTTCGTTTTTAACCAAATACATGTACATTTTTAATTCCTCTGAAGTGTATGTTTTTCCGGACGGAGATTTTTTAGGAGGTTTTTAGTCACTCATGAAGTAGATCAAATTCATAAAATAGTTCAAATGACCTTTTTTCCATTCTTACTTGCCCTGCTAAATCAGCGTGTTACTATTTGCACTTGCAAAAGTTCTGGACATTCGGCTCAAGCCACGAGGTTCTTGTGGAGCAGTGTCGTGTCTTTGCAGTGAAAGGGACCAGGCGGTGGGAGGTGAAGCTGGCCTGGCTCGTGCAGTGCCTCCTCCACTCTTTGCAGACCCCCACTGCTTATCGCACACTTTGCTGGGCCCCGCACAGCAGGGTGGACCAAGGATAGAATTGCAAACAGAAATTGTGCTTGCTTTTGTTTAGTGAAGCCAAAAGTCTTAATATTATTTTATGGACTTGATGTAAATGACAACTGACATGAGAATGAGAAATTTTAAGAGCACATAAGCGTCTTTACAATCCCAGGGGTTGGGGGCAGAGGACAGTACAGAAAGTGTGTGTGTGTTTGTGTGTGTATTCTTTCTTGAGTCGTATATAATCAGTGCCTTCACCCTCTCCAAAAAGAGCAGAACTGATTAGAAGAAGGAAAAGACTAACTTGATGCACAAAATTTGTATGCATGCCAAGTACTGGAGTAAAAAATACTTGGCATCTGACTGAAAAGACACCAAGCAACCATTTGATGTCTATGGTTGGACACTCTCAAGATCTTGCACTCCTATATTTCATTTAAAAAATTGCTCCCTGACATGCAAACCGACTTCAATTTTGAACAAAATTTAGCATTCAAATTTATAGCCACTTTGAAAACTGAGGGTTTATTTATATCATATGAACCTGAACAGATTCTTAATTACAGCAGCCCTAGTGCACATGGAGAATCTGGATTTAAAAAAAACAAAAACTTCCACATAGGTTTTTCTACATTTTTGAGATGCTTTCATAGCAGCCATCATTCATGGGAAATAGTATTAAAATCCTGCCATATTGCAGTTTAAATTTAAAGGCACTGCTTCCCAGTAGAGAGTTTAGTGTATCCTGTAAAGGGACTAAATGGATTTTTTCGGTTTTGTAATTTTTTTCCCTTCTCTTGCAAGCCTAATTCTACTGAGAGAGATGCTGGTCCCTTTGAGTAATCTTTGTGTGTTAACAACCTGTACAGGGAACTCCTCTCTTGTAATGGGCAAAAGTCATCTTGGTTTGCATGAAAGAAAAGGTCTGATTGAACTAGGGTGAGCCTTTCATTTTAAGAAGAGTTAAAGTCTGGGGTGTTTTTAATGTTTTAATCTCTGTTTAAGAGGTTTCTGTTATGAGAGGAAAATTGATAACATTTTTACCTCAGCCAACTGCCAGCAAACTGGCTCTGGTCTAATCCCACGTTTATAGTGATTTATATTCTCCGTGGCAATGTGCTGTAACCTCAGAGTGATACCACTGTGGTGCAGATTGACTGCATTCCAAATGCTGGAATCACATACATAATGTTTTTACTTTTAAATAATATTCAGACACCAGAATAAATACCATATGTGCACTGATGCTGGTTACAATGGAACCTTGTCATTTCTTGTGAGGGAGAACATTCTTTGTTTCTGATTTCTGTTTGAAATAAGTATGCAAAAGATAAATATGTACATTGACAGCATTTTGAGAAGGCTCAGGTAATTACACAGCTGAGGATGTAGCTAGGAGTCCTTGAAATGTAGCACTTAAGACTGAAAAGGCTGCTGTGTTGCCACCATCCCTTTTTGACACACATAAAGGCAAGGACTGTAATCTGACATTCCCAGTGTAGGGTTTAGTTTTTATATTTTATAGCTACAGCATGCTGTAGTCACCGGACATCTGTTGAAGAAAAATTACCTCGAGTACTGTTCACAGAAACAGTGAGACTAACATGCTGATGACCTCGTTACAGGGAGAGTAACACACGTGATAACGGGAAGGGATGGATTGATTGGAAAGTCATAATTCAGTGTGAGACCTAATGTTATCTGATGCCACAAAACCAGAACTTACGTGGCCTGATATCATCAAAATACAGGTAGTCAATCTCTCCAGATCCATTTTTTCCCCACATGATGTTGAAGATTTAAAAGTTTCATAAAGTTTAGAAATGCCTCCCAAGTCATGCATTTTTAGGTTCTTGTTTTCATCCATCTTGGTTGGAATTCTAATCCACCTAGACATATTTTTTAAATAGACATGCTAGAATGCCTTTCATATTTGTGCATCTGTGACACGATCCAACAAGTCAGTCCACGTTTGCTTCTTGGGGAAGCATTTCAATCCAGGTTTGCGTTATTACCATCAGGTGAGCTATATTGAATTAGTGCTTACGACGTTTTCATAATATTTTGTAGACGAGGAAACCCTGGGCATTGGAATTGCTGGCTTTCCCTA